AATCAATTATTATGGCGAGAAAACTAGTGAAGTGTTCGCTCTATTGCAAAGCTTGTAGCATGCGTCCCAGCGATGGAAAGGTAAACTGGAAATAGCAACATCTCAACTCCCCTCGACAGTCAACACCACGCCATCGCTGTCTCGGTCAACTCAAGTCACAGGATTACTTGCGACTTGCGTCTGCCTGATTGTGAGATGTAGTTGTGAAGGCGGAGAGGTGAAGCTATAGCATTGGCGTCACATTCTACAGCATTGGAGAGGAGGAAGAAGGAGTGGGAGGAGGAGGATGAGAAGGAGGAGGAGTCGATGCAGCAGTCGAGGACGTAAGATGTGAGACCTGCAGGATTGCAGAAGAGTTGTTAATGAATGCTCACAAAATCCAGTTTCTGGCAGTGATTCGGAAATACTTATTTTCCGACTTACGTCGAGGTCTCGAACAACGAGAGCGTGGGGAATCGCGAGGAAGTGGGATGGATTCAGTTTGCCGCACCATTCCTTACAAGTCGGAGTAGCTCTGAATCTCCTTTTGATTGAGGACATCGGCTTGAAGCCTTCGTCGTGGTAACTACAAGTTCTTGAATCGCCCATTACGCCTGCGCAATGGCGAGGCAACCACTGACTGCGGGAGATCAGCTTGGCATTATGCGCTTATGATAGCACAACACTGATGAAGCAACTTACAAGCATAATTTCCCTCTGCACTCTCAAGCATATGTGTCGTCTCAACTTCTTTCTCACGTCTAATAAAGGCGAAGCGCTTTCGCTGTCCCACTGTTTCGCCTCTTTCAGTCGGCGCAACCTTCTCATGCGACATCAGACAAAGTGGTTACAGTCCACACCTCTCCTGACTGCTGCCAAAAATCATGCTCCCACTACCACCTTCACCACCACCTCCAACACAGCACGCGACGTCGGCACCGTTGATCCGACCCAACCCAACTGATTCCATAAAGACATGCCTCGTAAATCGCCTCTGAATTCTTGAGCGACATGGTGTGGAAGAGGTTAAGCAATTGGTAATGCTTTTAACTGTAGCCTAGGATTCATTGTCGCACCTGACACGATGATGGCCATGACTTTGTGCATTTGATGTTCGGGTGGTCTGCTTTCCGCAGCATTCGTTCCAGTTGGTAGCATGAGTGGTGGATTAAGTCGAATTGACGTGCGTAATCGTGGGGAGTGGTGAGATGCTTTGAGAATGAATTGCAAATGCTGCTGAACAGGCCAATTATCGCTGCTCTCAAGTTGCCCTGACATGGTGTCATCTCTCGCGCCTACAGCGACATGTATTGTGCAGTTTGTCGCACCTGTCACATTTCCCGACTGCATCTCCAAGATGCTGCCGACAATTGCAACCCTCAACCTTCCAAATGCATTAAGATGGAAAGGTGCCAAAGTGTTGTTGCCTCATAGAGTAAACAAGTATCTGCGGCCCATTGAGCAAGGCTGCATGATGTCGAGGATAAGGTGGTGTGACGAAGTATGACATAATAAAAGCAGAGCTGCCTGCATTAAGAACCTCTCTGTTCTG